ATATATAATACATAGTCAAATGTCACCAATTGTGCCAATAATGTTTCTGTAGATAATATTTTTCCTGATCCACAATCAAATATTGTATTTAGCTGCCATGTCTCTTTAATCTCCTTTAATCAGAAAGTTTCTCAGCCCTCATCTTTTAGGATTTTGACATCTTTTGTGTTCAAGCCAGTTTTTCTATTAAATATCCCACAATTTACACCTCTCTGATAATTCCTCATGATTAGTTAGAGATTATGAATTTTTATCAGGAATATTAAACAGGTGACACTGTGTGTGCCACATCTAGAGGCACAGGACGTTGCTGTGTCCCTTTTTTTTATTTTAAACTCTACATTTTGTTTACTTAAAGAAGGTATTATAAGACTGATGCCCTACATATGTATTAACTTTAAAATTTATGAAAATGATTTGACTTTGGGTGGTGGGCGCAACAGTGCACATGTAGATCACGTATCACAGAAACGGACTCCTGAAGCCTGACGACCCTACTGACCAATGTCACCACAGCAAAATTAATATAATAAAATAAAATAAAATAAAATTTATGAAACAAAATTCTAACCTCAATAACAATTTTCTAAAATGCAATCTCATTGGACAAATAAATAATCAAGTGGCACAAAGGATAGAAAGACTAATTTCTTGCGCTTCTTAGCAATGCTGTTTACTGACTAGGGGATCTTAGGCAAGTTAATTAATCTCCCTGAATATACTTTTCTATATCGGTGCTTTAAATGAAAACTTTTTATGAAACAATCTCAAATCCATGCACAGCTCAATACATTTGCATTACTGGCAATTTTGTGAGCAAATAATGTATCCCTGTGAGGCACATTCTTTTTTATTTTATATAGTTATAAAAATAAAACCTCATAGTCACTTTTTTAAATGCATCTTGAGGCAATGTTGACAAAAAAGCACAGCGCCGTATTTTTTTTTTTTTTTGTCTTGCAAGTATAACTGTGCTTCAAAGAAATCTAGATTTGAATGTTTTGCTAAAAAAGCACTGTCCTTCCAAATGTATTAAAGTTAGTGGAGCTAAATAAGCGTTTAATGTTTGTAAAAGCAAAAGTGACTCCTTAAGAAGGACTTTTAGGGTTCAGTAGAATGAAGAATGTTTCTCTCAGATGCGCCATCTGGAGTATAATTATAATTGTTACTGAATCATGCTTAACAACAAACTCTATTTCCTCAGAGTTTACATCATGTACCCAATCATAGGAATGTATAAAAGAAATAATTTACCCACCAATCTGTACATATCAAGAGACATGATCTTAAAAAATAAATTAAAGTGATCTTAAAACTACAGTCCTTAAATTTAAATTACTTTCACGGGTATACAATATTCTGTAGGGGAATAAACACATTTAGATTCCAAAAATTTAGTCAAAATCCACAAACCCCTTTCCACAAATTAGGAAAATGCAATTCTCCAAATGAAGAGACGTTGACATACCAGCTGACATCTCAGAAGGAAGAAACCTCAAAGCTTTGGTTCATGCAATATACAGGGTCCAGCACAAATAACGCCCCTTTGTATCGCATTATCTTTTATTATAAAATCATAAGCATGTAATTCTGTAACATAACAATATCACACTCAAGCACACCATATGACATTTTAGGTGAAGTACTCAAATTAAAACTCTAAATAGTTACACCCATATAACTACCATACCAACCACACTCAAGCAGGCATTACTTCTGCCAGACCCTGTGTACATGGGAATTTCTTATCACTTTACCTTGGCCAAAATGGTCTTCCTGCTGCTCCTCACACATAGCACACTTACTCTGCCTCAGGGTTTTCTTCCTGAATACATATAGGTACCTGCTCACATGTTAGAGAACTTGTTCAATCCACTCTAGCTAAAAATAAGTGCTCTCTCTTACTCCACCTCTCTCCATATCGTCCTACTTTGTTTTGCTTCAGAGTGTTACCTGATGTTACGGGGTATATTCATTTGTTTATTACCTTATAGTCTCCCCCCACTAGAGGCAGCAGGATACAGAGGTCCTGCCTATTTATTTATTGTCTGTCCTCCCTGTGGCTGAGGACTTGGTTTATCTTGTTCATTGCTTACTTTCAGTGAATAGAACAGTACCTGGCATACAACAGTTCTCAATACGTTCTTTTTGAATAAATTAATTAGTGTTTCTCAGATATCTAAAAGAATAATTAAGATGTCTATGTCCAGAGATAAATGGAGTTCACAAGAATATATGATAATTATAAAATATTTTCAAAAGTAAAAATGTGTCTTAGATAGCAGACATGGACAGAACAATGGAAAGTACATATAAGATTAAAAATATTCAGAGAAAGAAAATACTTGTTTTGTGAACAAATTCTGAAAGCAAAGTATAAACACTTAGACCAGAAATCAAGATCGCCTTCTTTTTAAGAATGGTTTAGAGTAAACTGTAGATTAGAAAAGCATCATACCAAAAAACATCTTTCCTTTCCCTTTTTCTCCACTTGTTTCAAAGTAACTCTCTCTCTCTCCTACCAATCTCCCTGAATATATACTACATATAATAGTTGTGTTCTGCTTTGTCTTGGAGATTACCATTCTGGACAATTTTACCATGTAGAATTCAGGTTATCTTTTTACTTACAGAATGTTTTTTACTGTAATTTTAAAAATCAGTTTTGTTCCACATTTTGTTTTTCTTCTTCAGGGACTCCAATTATTCACATGATGGCCGTTCTTTGCCTTTCTCCCATTTCATCTACTTTCTCTGACCCTCTTTAGCTGTTTCTTTATATCATTGACATTCTTTTCATTGTTCACTTGCCTTGTTCAATGGTATTTATTAAACTTTTGTTCAGATCTGTTCTCCCTTTGATATCTTGTCATTTAGTCTGTATTTCTAAATAAATAAATAAAATCTACCATTTTATTCTATTTTTTTCCAAAGTTCAATCAACTTTAATTTCATTTCTTCTTTTTTTTATTTCTTAGTTTCTGAATTTGTGATTCAAGGTGCTTTTCATACCCCAATATTTGTTAGGAGACATTTATTTCAGATTAGAGTGTTGTGTTATCATTTTCTTCTGTTTCATGGTTGCTTTTCAAAGAGGAATTTCCACCAACTGAAATGTTTTGATTCTTTATTCTATTTTGAACTTGTAGTAATTTCATATAAATGAAGACTGATTATATCTAGCAATTTTTTAGATAAGAATGACAGTATGAGCCAGTTTACAAGATCTTTAGTTCAAGAGCAGACTCCCATGTTTATGTCATGAGGTGTGGTTTCTTTAAAGTGGCTTTGGGGATGGGAACAGGAGAGAAGTTATGTTTCCTTCCATTTATAGTGGAAAGAAATACCATTTATTGTGGTATTCTAGATTTCCCCATTTTACTTATTTCCCTTCATCAACAAGACTCCAAAAAGTTCTATCCCTTACTTTTAACCTTGTTTATCCCTAGAAGCATTTTTCCCCCACACTGCTACCTGTGTATTGTGAAGTCCCTTCCTCTTTATTCAGTGTTCCCATAGCTACCTAACTTAAGTATGCCCACACTTAAGATAGACTTTTTCTGACTGTGATTTTCACAGAATCCCCTCTTGTCCCTTCCACACAATTTTTTTCTAGAAACCCAGAATTGTCCACAAAGATTTACAGTGAAAACTCATGAGACAGCTCTACTGAAAACTGATGTTACTTTTCTCCATACAGTACCTGAGGTTTATACTGTCCTCTGTCTTCCAGTTCTGCTGAAGGTGAGGGATTTATGTAGTTTAATTTGTTTCTTATTGATCACACAGGAGAAAACACAGAAGGAATTGAAATATAGACAGCAGCAATTAATTACTTAAGATACCTGGATGTTCCTCATTTATAATTCGTAACCAGATATTTCTTCCTTATGTCTAAAATCATATTTTCAGTTTTACTTTTTAAATCTTGTAGTGGAATTTGTAATGGATGCATTGTGTTCCACCCATCTCTCCTCTTCCGAGCTGAGGCGTCTCTTCCCCCAGGTACTGGGAATCATGGCTGTGACTTTTCACATCTGTCATTAAGAGTGACCCTTCCCCAAAGGGAACTGCCTTTCTCAAGGTTACCCACCTCCTCCATGATGGAGCCAGTTTACAAGATTTTAGCTGACTGATACAAGGATCCAAAACTCAGCCCCTTGAATTAATTTGTGACCACATCACAGCGCCATCCTAGTTTGAGAGAGTTCCCTGCAGGATCAGCGGAGGTCTCAGTTGCACCTGCATTTTGGATCAGCTTCTCTGTCTGCCCAATCTTATCGTCCTCTCTTCCTCACAGGTGTATATCCTGAATGCACTCTTCAATATACCTTCTGCAAACAATTCTCTACCTCCGGGGATTTTCAGGGCATCCCACATAAAGACAACCACTATCAAAATTTTATTGTGTTATGAGCAGGCCCTGTTGCAAATACTCTGAATATATTGCATGCATTCATTTAATTCTCACAAGGAAACTGTGAGGAAGATACTAGTATTATCATCTTCATATCTCATATGAGAAAAGGAACAGAAGCACTCTGACTCAAAAGCCCATTCTCATCCAGTGTACTACCTCCCACACTAGCTCTGCATTCACTGTTTTTCCAGTATGACCCTCAGTGGGCCTGTTCTTTGCATTTTTCTATGCCCTGCTATGCAGCATAGCCAGCTTATTCATATATCAGGATGATCACAAATACTAATATGTTTTCATTTTTCACACATAATATTTTCTCTAATGGATTGACCATATGTTAATTGCTAAAGATGCAACTCATTAACCTTATCAATTTTTCTCTTAAGTTTTAGCATTAAGAACAGAGAAGCATGTTTGTAAACCCAGCATATTTTCATTCAGTCTTACCATTGGATTACTTTTTATTTGTACACATCTGTTAGTAGGTGCATGTTAACCACCACTTCTCTGTATGTTTGGTTTTTTTATCTCATTTCTGAACAGTACCAAAAAGAATATAATTCTTCTCAAAAATTCTTACCTCCATCTTGAAATTTGCTTAATCTTTCAAAATACGATGACATGGGGACCTGTACAATATCTAGGATAGCCAGAAGCGTCCTTGTTAGCCTTAATAATTCACTGAAACTATAAAATCCAAAGTATATAAGATTCCGAGCCAAGTGGACCACCTTCATTAAAAAATGGGGTAAGGCAGAAAAGAAAAGAAAAACATTAGGAACTAAAATTAATGTTGACATGTTATTATCTAAATTAGTGCGGGTATTTCTAAGCATTCTAATTTTTAACAACTAGGAATTTAAATACTACAAAAGCAATCACTAACTCTGATTAATTCAAGTTTACAATTAAACCCAAATAAGACCAGTTCCTCAACCTCATCAAAGTTCCACATGACAAGAAGATGAGGTGTCCACCAAGGAAACAAGAAGACAAGATTTTAGGTATATGAAGGTGATTTAAAGAAGTCTACATTAGAATGAGTACCTCTTAATTAAATGTAAATTCATGTAAGACAGTAGGATACCACTTAATAAATGGTTATATTAATGAATTAATTTAATAAATGGATATTATTCGTGGTATTTGTCCAGAAATGCAGGTTTCCTATGCTGGCTTTGTGGTCTTCTGGATACTATAAGACACACTAGGTGCAAAAGGCAGCTTCCAAGATGGCCACCATTATATGGTCCCTTCCACATTGTGTCAGGGTTATCTGTGTGCCAAACAAAATATGGCAGAAGGGACAGCATGCCACTTCCAAGATTAGGTCACAGAAGACTGCAGCTTCCATGTCGGGCTCTCTCTCTTTCCCAGCAGAAGGCAGGTGCTGTGCCATAAGGACACAAGCAGCCTATGAAAATGCTACCTTGTCAAGATCCAACAAGATAGTATGGCCACCAACCATCATCGTCCAGTCCCAGGTGACTTCCATCCCAGTCAAAAACTTGATTGCAACCTCATGACAGACTTTAAACCAGATCCCACAGCAAAGCCCTCTCAGATTCATGACCCATAGAAACTCTAAAGTACTAAATGTTCGTTGCTTTGGGCTGCTAAGACTGGGTTAATTTGTTACATACTCATAGATACCAAATACACCAGGTAACAGCAGCATGTTCTCTACAGTTTTGTCATTATATCTCCAAAATGATATTATAACTAGAGGTATTTCAATTCAGTTTAATGAGGCTAGACACATCACCTCCATGGATATGGAAAAATGTACCCAAACATACTCTAAATGCAACAAAGTTTACACAAATGTAATGAAACTCAAAAAAATCCAGGGAAACAGTAGTTAATTACAAATAAAATATTTTGCATTGGATATCCAGTATAATTAAAGCACTAATCTATTTTTTAATCAATGGCAGAGGGAATAATACCTCCATGAACTAAACTAACCAATTACCAAAGCATCTTAAATATTATAGAGAAAAAATCCTTATGTTCAATGTATCTCATTTTTGACAAGAAAAATCAAATCTTCACGAACAAATTGTTTTTCAAAATACCTCAAATGTCAGTTTGTTTTTTTCTTTATCTCCAAAAGGAAAGGGCTGATTCACAACTTCTTTCAAGTATTCTTCAACAAATTCCATTGTCAGTGCAAATTTCCTCTTCATATCATTTCTGGAACAATCTGTTATAGAATCATATCTGCAAAGATAGAATATAAAGCAAGTTAAATTGACTGCAACCATTTAAAAATAGGAAAATATACATACTTTAACTTCCTGGCTTCTTAAGCCTGGGTAAAGTAATTAACCTTTCTAGATATTGTGCTCTCATCTGTAAAATGAGGCTATTGTGAAATGAGGTAACACATGTAAAGCACTTAACTCAGAGTATACCATAACATTAAGCACTTAACAAACTGTTATGCCTATTATTAATATGATTTCTGTTTATTGGTTTCCAGAATGATGCTTCTATTATCCAGGGTTGTCATTTTATGTTCCAAAAAGAGTATCTTATTTGCATTTGGAAGATAACCACCTGAGTTTGAACACAGAAATGCTTTTCTTTATGTTTTATTTCAAAATTGGTGTCACTGGATTTTATATTTCATCTAAGGAATGCAAAGCCTTTGAAAAATTTTCCCAAACGTACTCATGAATCGTGATCTTCGTGGGGATTTCTGTCCAGAGCCTAGCATAGCGAACAGGCACCACAGACTCCTGGGGATCCCGGTCAACATGCATGTGGAGCATGAGGCGACAAAACGACGCTCGGAGGTCAAATGGCAGGCTCTCGTCTGACATACAGCGCAGGATCAGATCGACAGAGAGCTGTGTGGAAATCTGGTTTATGGCCAGATACTGGCGATCCAAGCACATCCTTGCAAAGAGGTTGAGCTGGTACCTTAAAAATTTCAAACGTATGTTATTTTTCCTATCTTAACAAAGTTCTTCAATATCTACCTTTCATGAAACCAATATTTCTAAAAGTACTGGAGTAAAACTCTGTTGGTAGTAGGTTAAGTAATCAAATAACATATACGTGAAATTATCTCTATGTCCGTTCAGTTGTGATTTCCCTGACTGGTTTCAGCAAATGTGTCTGGCAGAGAGTCATGAGGGTCTTTGTTCTACGTTTCTTAGGATCACAACTACACTAACCCTGAAGACCATTACAGCTCACATGAGGCTCTCCCCCCTTAACCTTGTCCCCCTCACTTTTGGGCTCTAGTATCTATACCCTAAATGTAGATCAACTCAGTTCCCAAATCAAATGTGATCAACCCAAATGGCATCAGTACACTTGGATTCATCAGCCTCTGAGATCAAGGATGAGCCTTCGGCTTTGATTGTTGAAGCTACAGAAAATAGGGAGCACGAGGCATTATCTGCCTTTCTCAGATTGGGCCCAAACTGGCCCAAGGGCTTCTGCCTTAGTTTTCATCCCATAAGTTTAAAGACACCAGCCAGGTCCTTGCTCACAACATACTGACTACCAGAAACTACCATCAGAACTTCAGCTGCCACATGCCATCGCTGAACTTTCATAACTATATACACCAGTTTCTCATAAGCCCTAAGTCTCTACATATTTATAAGCACCAGATACTATAAACTACTACTAGCTAACCCTTTCTGAGGCAGTGTCTGCAACTGGATCAGCTTCTCTGGCCCAAGTTCCAGCTCCCTCTCAACTCCGTTTCTTAATTCCTTATGTCTCTCATCAGCACCCACCCCAATCAGTAACAAGAAAGAAAAAGAAACCCTTTGCTACACAACAGTCCCAACAATTCCAAATGTCTGGGAAACCAGAAAATTGCAACAGGTATATGTGGAAAATACAGACGTTAACTTTATTTTAATATTTTAAATAATATCCATTTTAGCTACCCTAGCAACAATGACTATTTTATTTTTATTTTAATCCTCACCCAAAGGTCTATTTTCTTGATTTTAGAGAGAGAGGAAGGAAGAGAAACATCAATGTGAGAAACATCAATCAGTTGTCTCCCATACATGCCCCAACCAGGGATCGAGCCCACTATGACTTTTTAAATTTCCTCTTCATAGATACCTGATTTTTTTTAGAGGTTTCAGAGACTCTTTCCCAATGAACATGTGAGACTGAGAATGATGATTCTATACAATACTTTACCTGTAATAGGTCAGAACTTCTAAATCAGCTTTGGTGCCTTCTTTGGCTTCCTGAGCAAGGTGTCTGATAGCTTTGCCATGAGGTTCCTTGTTGCTGTCAATCCAGTAGAGCCAAACTTCTTCATCATCAATGTCATCTGAAAGGATGGAGCTCTCTATGGGGTTGTCCATTTGCATTGAGACCAGCCTTGAAATTAATAACACACACAAAATCTATTAATAAGCTCACTAATACGATTAAAGAAACTGTAATGCTTACAAACAATGAACAGAAAAAGATGCCTCCATTATCTGGACTTACTTCGTTTGAATGAGAATGTCTGCATTTCCCGGGCTCAACATGAATTTACAGATGAGTTCTTGAGTTACCGGTATAGCGGTGGTATTGGACACACATAGATCTGATAAGTAATCCAAGAATCTAGCAAAAAGTTAAATCAAACACTAAGAAAAGGCATTTTATAAAATCAAAATAAAAATAAACTTTGGGATAAAACAAACATAACTTTTAAGATATATTTTAAAATATTACTTCCATGTAGCATTTTTCTAATGTGTTGCTTATCTACTGCATCATTGGAAGCAAATTAAACATCAAAATGATTTGTATTTAATACAAATATTATTTCAAAGGACATAAGTTCACTTCCGTTTGGTGATCTTCATCCCACAGCACACTGACTTACTATGTTTAGAAAGTCATGTATCTGCCCTAGAGTCAAACAACCCCAGAACTGAATATCAAAAGGAGATCAAAGCTAATGCCATACTGAGTAAAATAAGAATACAGCACTCACTTAATAAAAGTGGAGTCAGAGGCCCATTCGTACCTTCTAACATTTATTTGTTGTGCTAATTAGTTAAGAAAACTTTATCAACCTGCCTGACTTTACTGCATTCATTTCTCCCAGATAAGGCAGCATGGTGCAATAGAAAGAGAACTTGATGTAAAATCAGAAACCCTTGATGTGAGATCAAAACACCTCTTCTATTCTTTACTATTGGGCTCTTCTTGAGCAAATTGTTCTCTCATGTTCTTTTTCCTCAACTCTAAAATGTGGATAATAACATATAACCAGAATAGCTTGTGATAGCATGCAAGTATTTAACTGAGACAATGTATATGAATATATTTTGAAAAATTATAAAGTACTATTAAAAATGTTATCACAGTGAAAATCAATTACATTTAAATATGTTGAGAAAGGGTGTTGGTCTCCTATAAGGTAATGTCTTTATCATATGCAATTATTACAGCAATAAACCCCATGTTTTGTCCATGAAAGGAATATAAAAGAATATTAACTTTAAAAAGTTCTAAGAATAAAGCAAAAGGCCGCAATCTGCCCCACTAGAAAAGAATACCACATAAACCACTTCCAACCTTGGCTCACGATTTCTCCTGAGTAAACTGACAAATGTTTCTATTTCTTTTGCTGTGATATGTTTCTCTAGTAGTTTTCTGTTGTTGTGCAACAGAGCTGTGATGGTATCTTCTGCCAAAATATCATAGCCAATCTGGGACTGCATGACACAGAAATTCTTAGCAATATATTCCTGCAAAAAAAAAAAAAAAAAAAAAAAGGCTGTCAGAATGCACTGCCAAATGGCTCAGAAATAACAAGTTTCATTATGGTCGGCACCACTGATTGAATTATTCATAACAAAAACCTCACTAAAGATCACTGACAAAGGAGAGCCAGTAAATAATTCTTCAATAAATAGGACTTTTGGAAGAAGGAAGTAAAAATAGTAGCATATACCTCATTTACAACGGTTTTTAACAAGAAATTATATACCTAGAAATATTTTTTTATATGGGTGCTTATACCTTCCAAGTGTAAGTGGTCAAAACAACGGTAAACCTAAAGGAGCAATGTTCATGGCGCAGTAACTAGGGGTTTCACCACCCTAATGGAGGCCCCTCTTCTAACTTTCACTGACAGTCATAACCGATTATTTTAACATGATTATGGAAAGAAAATCACTATGCGATATTTTATTCATGAGGCATGAGGTCTATATTGTTACACAAAGATCCCAGGTAAACTCAGGTGATTTCTTTTCTGTACAATATACCACAATGATCTATTAAATCTTCTCTTTAAAGTAATGATAAGATTTCATGCCACTTTTTATCTTTAAAAAGCTATCAAACAGGATAATATGATTAACTGCTTAATTGATTAGATCCATTCATCCAATAAATATTTCTTGAAAGCCTACTACATTCCAGGCACTAGGCATACAGCAGTAGACAAGATAGATACGCTTTCACAGAGCTCACATCCAGTGAGAAAAAAAGGTGAGTAAATGAGCTAATAAATAAGATCATGTTACATGTTGATAAGTGAAATGAAACAAACAAAGGTAGCAACTTGAGATGCAGTAGATGCTAAGGAAGTGACATTTGAGCTAAGATGGCAATGATTGCAAGGCTGAAATGATAAAAAGGAGGCAGCAGGGGAAGAGAAGCCACCTAGGCGGTGGGAGTAGCAGGCGCCAAGGCTCGGAGGCAGTGGAACCGAGCTTTCTGTGATCTATAAACAAAGAATGGCCACTGCAGCTAGGCTGTAGGAAGCAAGGAGAAAGCAAGAGCTGAGGTGGGAGAGGTGGATCCTCGCAAGCCATGGTAAAGGGCAAGAGAAAGCCATTGGGGACTATCAATCATGCGTTATCTAATGTGCTCCTTATTCTTCACACTAACTCTCCTATATTCCAAGCCACTTCTGCTCTTTTCCCACATTCTGTGTGCAAGCAAGACATCTCATGCAACCAGAGTACTGGTAAGCCTACCCTGTTTCACAGTTAAGATGTTTTCATTTCAGTTTCTTGGGTATTCTCCCTGGGCATGTATCTCTGTATCTTTGTTGAGAGAATTTATTCATTAGATAGTGGTTTTGCCTTTTTTTTAACTGGAGTCTATTTATTCCTTGAAAATGATATTGGTTGCACAAATCTAATTATATTCAAGGCAGCAATTTTGTGGCCTTTCAAAATAATAGCTTTATGTGGGTAGCCAATTAAATAAAGGAACTGTCTTCTGTTAGTGCGTCACTTTAAAGATACATATTGATTTACACACTTTTATGACTATTTTAATTATACTGTAGTGTAAGGAAAACCTCCAAGATGTTTGATAAATAGATCAAGGTGTTGACAAATAATCAAAAGAAATTAGAGATGTTGCCAAATTCTACAAATAATAATAGACAGAGACTCGATATGAGAGACTTGGGTTGGTACTAAATCAGAAAAGAACTCCCTACTAAAACTCTATAAAACATAGATGTGGATAAAGGAAAACAAGGTAATTATGCAAAAAGTAGAAAGTAATTCTGCTTACGTTCTAAAATCTTGTTCTAAAAATATCAGAAAGCTGCTTTATGCTTAAAACAAAACATTTTTAATGCAACAGAAATGAGGAAAATATTTTCAACTACCACTGAGACTGAACTGTAACATGCATGAAAACATAAGGAAGGATAAAATCTAAGCCTCCATGAATGCTGGGAATTTTTTTTCCTTTTGTCAGCTCAGTGATCTACATCTTGAAGAGACATCGCAAAAGAAAGAAAGGGTGGTCCACCCACATCATATACTACAAGGAAACCAGAAAGCATGCCCCCCTAAGAGACTAAACATTTCCCTGGAGAAGTGATATGCCTAGTAGAGTGAACTAAGAACAAAGGAGATGAGAAATTATAAGAGAGAGAGAGAGAGAGAGAGAGAGAGAGTGTGTGTGTGTGTGTTTATTTCTACTAGTTGCAAAGATGAATGTTTTCGGAGGAAACACTGCACATATTGTCAGCGCAGTAGGCTCACGGGTCCCTACTAAGACTGAGGACTGAGAAAGAACTTCATGTGCCACACCTGGAAGGACTGGGAAAGGACACCAGTTAAGATGTGTTGCCCAGGCAACCTAGGAAGGACTGACAGAAAAACCAAAAGCAAGGAGACTGGCACTGAAACACGGGGTAATGGTATAAAAACAGGGCCCTCACGACCCTTCCAAAGGCTGAGCACAATCAAAGATGGTGCCCCTGTGGCCCCACAGGACTGAGAGAACCGGGCAAACTCTGTACACCTATTGCTTTTTTTCAGTCAGCTCAATCTCTCTAATAACAAGATTGCTTGTATGTGACAGCCTGTCTAGCAAAGTATATCTTTCTAGACCCAAAAAGAGACAGGAGGCCAAGTGGAATATACCAAGCAACCTCTACCCCCAGCCCCCTCCCCAGTCCTCCCCTCATACTGGGGGCTTCAGAGATGCCAATTGTCTGAAGTCTGTCATTTAATGTCCTAGAACTTAATTTTTTCCAATATAATAAAAACCACTCTTTATCTTGACATTTTAAAGGAATACAGTGAAGCTGGGAAAAATAATTCCAATGGTAGCATTTTCACTTGGGGTGAAGGGTGTTTATAACAAAGATTATGTTAAAAAGTATTTAAGGATTTGTTTATATAGTTCCCTTCCCCATTCTTCCTCCTTAGGATATTATTTATCTTCTGACTAATCTGTTTTACATATTGTTTTTAGACCTCTTCTTAATCTTTAAACAGAATATCACAGCCATTGTATTTTAACACATTTTTCTTACAGCAAATTTTTTTTTCGTGCCAAAAAACTTTCAGACTACTAGGAGGAAATAATGTGATGAGTAAGAGTCTGGGTTTAAATACTGTCTCCAGTCTTAAAACTGTATAATCTTTGGCAAGTTATTTAAACTCTTTGTGCCTCAGCTAATTCAGTTTTAACTCAGTATTAACTGAGTTATTAAGTTGTGAAAAGTGCTGAGAGTTGAACCTGGTACAAAGTAAGCACTCTACAAAAACCACCAGCTATTCCCAAGTAACCTCCAATTCCTCGGCCTGACATCCTAGGCCCTACATGGCGTAGCCCAACCTGCCTTACCTGCCCTCTCTCACACCATCCTTTCTCATGGACTCAACTCATTAGCAAAATTTACTAATTATGTGCTCATTTCTCAAAATCAGCTGAGGGAAAAATAGTAAGTAGATGACCTAATAATAATTTTATATTAAACAAACACATATATTATTGAACACATTGCAAAAGAGTATGTGATTTTAGGCTAAAAATGAAAAAAAAGAAATTTCACCTGCAGTTGACAGCTTTTAGCTATATCCCTAGGTACATCAGACTTCCCTGTTCTCTGCAGGTAGGAACATCTTTGGACAAAAGGGCCCTCTCTAGCACCCATCATTCTCTTTCCATAGACCTGTCTTTGCTAAAATGCCTGTTTCCCTAAAATGTATGGAAATGATTCTTATCCTACGCAAACGCTTCATTCTCCAAGCAGCCTTCCTGGGTGCCCTCAGCCACAACTGAGCGCTCCCTCTTCTCAATGCCTGCAATGCTGCCTTTTACTTCTCACTTCCCTTCTTTGCTCCTCCCTTATGTTTCAGATGCACAGGTCATATCTTTTCCCCAAGACAACAAACTCTTTGGCCTCTACATGATGATGTGATGTCTCACATGTTCCTAGAAATGCCAAGAAACATCTCAGTCCTCTTAACATACACAGGCTAGAACTATGCCCGTAGAACTATGCCCGTAGAATCAGACATCCTTCCCTAGCGATTCTAATTTTACATGAAAGAATAAGTACATGTCAGCTCAAAAATACTTACATGTCATTTTTTTGTGTTGCCAATATAAAACATTTCACTGCGAAGTGCAATTTCCCATTCCTATTTTATATGATTGAGAACAGTAACCAACGACCCTTGCCCATCCTTCAAATGTCAGACAGAGGTCAAAGGCGGGGCCACGCTCTGACCTGGTTTTTGCGGTAGTCCTGCTGTGAGTGCCTCAGCACGCGGTAGCACAGCCGCAGCAGGTACTTGTAGGGGGCGTATCTTTGGTCCCCCAGGTCTTCAAGTCTCAGCATAGGGCCTTCTCCTGCTTTCTCCTTAAAGGGTGCTTTCAGAATCCCAAATATCTATTAGGAAAGAAAAAAAAAAACCAATGTCTATTCTGATGCATGGAGGCACATGTTTTGCAATCTGTTTTACTTTTTTTTAATAAGCAATATTGACTCAAAAACACTTTCAAAATATTAATGTAAAGAAAAAATGAATTTAGGATACAGGGTCGGCATATTAAGGACATATAAGTACGGAGAAAAGAAGCTCCTATATCGAATGACAAAAACATTACTTAAATAAAACGCTTAATTTTGTTTAGAAATCACATTTTATTAAGATAAGGAATATAAACATGTTGGGTTGTACCATGTTACATCAAAATATTCAGATGAACTAAAATATAGTTTGATTTCTATAGGCTTTACAATTACATCTATTCTATAACTTTCTAAAATTGAAATAATATAAAAAACATTTATTTTTATCTGAAGTTGACATTAAACAATTGCCTCCAAATACTGCTTCTAAACCTCTTATAGAAGTTAATTTATTGTTCTTGATACATAAAGATGTGGTCAAACCAGTGAATGTATCAGCATTCAAATGTAACAGGTAAGGACCCACATGGGCAGCTGGTGGTACCCAGTGATCCAGATTCTAAGGTTCCTGATTGGGAAGTATTTAAAAGATTTTGAGGGATATAACTTTCGGGCAGCAAGAGAGCAGGCAGGACCACCCAGAGATGCACTGGCAGAGTGAGTAGACTGTTTATAGAATAACACATAGGCCAGGGCGTTAGCCTTAAGGCAAGGAAGCAAAATGGAAGGGAATTATCCCTGTAGTTCATGAACTATATGAATCAAAGTTTCTTCAATAATTCTGTATTCACTAAACCTTGACTTTTATTTTTATAATACAGAAATAAAGTTTTGACATGTTGATTAAAATAATAATAAGTTACTCAAGGTCCTAAAAGTCCTTGAAATAAAATACTTTATAGACAAAACAAAAAGCTAATGTCAGAAAAGACTTTTTCTCATTAGATTTGGAACCTTTGTCTTCTCTGAGAAAAACCTTGATTTTTTATTTTCAGACAAGCAGCTATAGAATATTAATTGACAATACATCTCCTGTTTTCCTTACCCAACTTCACAAATAGTAGATATAAATTAATATGAGTTTAAGTATCATCTTGAGTCCACATTTCAAGAATGCAGAAGCCCATTTGTTTACACAGCAATTGACAGAACACAAAGAATGCATAAAATCAGGTATGTTCTTAGGTACATACTATTAGGAAGTGAATTAATTTACTGGTGTGTTCTAAACAATTTCAGAAAGACATAGTATAGGTGCAGCTATAGACTTCTTGGGTAAAAAACTAGAATATTACATTGAGCACTAGTGAGCTGATGAACAGACTACCTTACTTTTCCTATGAAAGAGAGAGAAAGAAGTAGGAAAGCAGATGAAGGTGACAGTTTCCAACTTCTCCTGGAAATTCCACCTAGAAAATTATCCCAGCACAATTGGCCATGGAGATAGTCTGACCATGTAAGACGTTTAGAAATCTGTGGTAGGCTATCTCCAAGACAGCCCCCAATGATGCCTGTCTCCAAGAATTCACATCCGTATGGAATCCTGTCTACTTGACTATGGGCTGGAACTGATGGGATATTACTTGTAGGATTAGGCTATAAAAAGACGGTGGCTTCCATCTACGTGCCCTCTCTTGTTCTCTCTTGGACCATTCAGTTCTAAAGAAGGTAGGCTACCGGCTCTTGAGGCAGCCCTGAGGGGAGGCCCACGTCAGCGAGCTGCAAAGTGACTCCTCTGCCATTCAAGACTTCAGATGACTGCAGCCTGGCAAAAGGCAGTAAGCAAGAACTGCCCACCTAAGCCACTCCTAGATTCCTAATCCACAGGAACTATAAATAGCTGTTGTTTTCAGCCATTAAGATTTGGGGTAACTTGTTACACAGCAATAATTAAGTAAATAAGTAAATAAATAAACTAGTACTGTATAATTCAAAAAATAAAATATGCAAATTTCGTACATGAAAACATTTACCTGTGCCAATATATTTTGTTCCCTCATTAATTTTTGACGTTCTCGGTTTGGCTTAGTGATAACCACATCCAGAACTTCTTGTCCGTTATTAAGAACATCAGCAACAAAAAAGATGAGGTCTTCCAATAATTTGGTTACAAACCTATTGTAAAATGAAAAGGAAATTTTACTCTATGGTATTAATTTTGGGGAAAAAGTGAATAAACACTAAGAACTGCAACGCTGAAAAACAAAGTGTTTTATAATATAAAATTATTTAATCAACAAAATATTTAATGCAGTAAATATTAACTAAATCTTTAAAAAGAACATCCCTTCTCCAGTTCCTCCAGTTCCCACTCCCACATTCAGCTTCAATCAAGTATTTGTAATGACTGCTCTGAAATAAAGCCACGTGAGCCCCAACAACAGATCAGTCAATAGGAAAATCCTATTGGATGCTTCTCCATGAGTGGTCAGTAATAAAGAATTGTTCTGCTCAAGGGAAAACAGCTGTACTTGTAAATTCCTAAAATGAAATCACTTTTTTTTTACTATTAATTCAAACTACATCTCATAATCCTCACATTTCAATTTCTCCAATATATAGAATAGGAAAAGCTAACATGATCTGTGAATAGGAACAGACTGAGCAATCATACTGCAAAATCAGAAGGCCAATTTGTCACCAACATAAAGCAAGTAATAGGGCAATATTAAAATGAATTTTTTAAAAAGTGTGTTTTCAACCCTCAAAGCAATAAAAAATTATATGCAAAAAAAGACAACATATATAATAAAGTGCAAATATGAATAAAGAATGGGCAGGTATGCAAAAGAACCACTAGACTAAAATTATGATTATTTAAATAAAAATCTAATTCTTGAAGATAAACTATTCTACACACATTATAAGAAAAATTAGTGATTTATAAGATAGTATTGAAAAATTATTCAGAAAGCAGGACTGAAAGTTTTTAAAAGGCAGATTATAAAAGAAAGTTAAGAGACAGGAAGATGAACTAAGAAGCTCCAACGTGCATCTGATAGTATAACAGTGGGGAATTATAACAGTGAGGAATTGTAACCCGCCCCAACATTCTTTTGACAATGTTTCCATAAATGTTGTCTCTGACTAATATGTAGCTTGTAGATAAACATGTTTGTATAAGAATGCTAGGAACTAACTTCTAAAAGATACAGACTCAGATCTTCAGCCATCCCAGCTCTGGGGGATGTGCTGACCTTCAACTGTAAAACCAGAATGGCGTAAAACCAAGATGATGAAAACCAGGATGATGCACAGCACAGCTGACCATCTCTTGACCAATTTCAAGGTCTTTATAGGAATGGACCGTGCTCCTTTGCATGTAAAGAACTTTTCAATCTTCTCCCCTTGATCTCTTTGTTCTGCTTTCCCTCTCCCTCTTCTAAAACCCTCTGTCTACATGAGATGTTAATATGGTTTTGGAGGCATAAGCCTGCCATCTTCCCAGGTTGCCTGCACGTGAATAAACTTTCCTTCTCACCAGCACTGTTCCCATGAGTATGGCTTTCGTGGCAGCAGGCCATTGAGCCTGCGGGTCATTCTTTCTAGTTTCAACAGGAGTTACAAAAGAGAGGTGAGAGGAAAAGACAAAGAAGCAACATCTGAAGTAAAAGGGCTGAATTTTTCAGAATTGATGAAAGACATAATATTCAGATTAAAAGGATTCCTCAAATGTCAAATGGGACGAGCAAAAATAAACTTTTACAACAAAGAAACGCAGGTAACTCCCTTCCATTTTCCCTATTGGTGCAGCTATGCAGAATAAGATCAGGAAATCCCACTGAAAAATATCCAAGATTGAATGAAGATCTTGGAGCATAACACAGGAGCTGTGCCTCCACAGTCCATTGCTGGGGTGAGCAAAGGCGGGGTTATGAAGACAGGACTGGAACAACACAGGCATTTTGAGACAGATCTATAATATTCTAACACCTTCCCTTTGACCCAGTATCATTCTTCTTTGAGTTAAAAGAATATCTAACAATAACTTCATTTGGCGGGGGGGTGGGAGGGGAGTCAGAGTTGTGAGGCATTCTCAGAAAGAATTTTATATTGAATTCTAAAATCAATGAAATACTATAAATGTATTCCACTATGGCATAAGCTCTACTGTACTGATAGGTGGCTCTGAGTGAATTTTGATGGAAGGTGGCTTTTTCTGAAACTACTAAATTAAGATCAATAATTGCAACTTCGTATTTCTCAGGCAATGAGAAGTATGATGCCTTTCACTCTAAAACAGTGGGGGAGAAAGCAGAGGAAGTAAAAATGCATAACCCCTGGTCAGTCCTGGTCTTCCACCTTGCTTAGAATTTTCTAAAGAGGTTAATTTAAGATTCTCTCCAGCAGTAGCTGAAGAGGAGCCTCTCACACAGGGAGGGGTACAGCCAGTAATGGCGGAGCACTCATAATCTTAACCCTTGTTTTTTTCTTCAAGAAACACTGCGATGCTTAGCAAGGGGGACTTTTCCAGTGAGGCTGAGTAAAATTCTGTGCATATGTGAGAGTGACAGACACTAAGAAATGGATTCATCCAAAAGAAGCATTAATAGATAAGGAGCAAATAAAAAGTGCCATCTGCACATCGATTCCATTACTGGTCATAATTTAGCTCTGGTATTTAATTATCCGTAGAAGAGTGGAGCAGTTGTTTCAGCTTCTGGCCTTTATTCATTACCCCCAACAGGAGTGGAGATACGACTGAATACACAATTAGCTGTTTTCGAATGCAGGTTTGTTAGGGAAAAAACAGGTAAGAACAGAGGAAGCTGAGAAGCAGCTATTCCATTTGTTTGCATATTTATGATGCTCTTCTACTGATAGGGGTGGGAGGAATCAAGGTGGATTTTTTTTCCTTTGCATTTTAAAATATATTTCTAAATGTTCATAAAACATACATGCTTGATGATGGAATACTTATAATGCAAACCCCATCGAGCCACCACCTAGAGCAGGAAATGGAACATTGCAAGAGGCTCCTCTCAGGTGAAAACCAACCTGACTTTGGTGACAGTTATGTCCTTGCATTTCTCAGTTGCTTACGCAGCCCAAATAAGAGTTCAGTTTTGCTTGTTTTAAAACTTACCAATAATATTAGCGTGAATGAATTTGGGTTTAATTCCCACGCAATCCAAAGTTTATTAGGTTTATCCATGTTGTCATATGCAGATGTACTTCATTTATTTTCATTGCTCTACTGTGGCCCATTGTATGGATATATCAAAATGGCACTCACTTATTCCACTGGTGATGGACAGCTGGATGATTTTCCGTTTGTGGTTATTTAGAATAAGGCTGAACATTCTTAAACATGGGTCCTGGTGCACATGTGTGGGAGCAGCTTTTGTACAGATGTTCAAAAACGTTAAGCCTAGAAGGGGAACTGGTGAGTCATAAAGCGTTTGCTTCCTTTTTTGTGTGTGTGTGTGTGGTAGTAAAGGAGACTTACCCTCTTATAAATTTTTAAGCGTGCAATACAATATTCTTAACTGTAGGCACAATATTGCACAGCAAATCTCTAGGACGTATTAATTTTGTAAAAAGGAAACTTTATACCAATTAAATAGGAACTCCTCATACCCCCTTCCCAACCGCCCCCACTGGCCCAGCCCCGGCAACCACCATTCCACCCTGTGCTTCTCTCAGTCAGACCCCTGCAGCATTGCTTACGAGAGCCGAGCTATGGAAACAATCTAAATGTTTACGGATGGATGAATGGGTAAAGAAAACGCATATATACATCCAATGGAATAGCATGCAGCTTATAAATAAGGAAATCCTGTCACATGTGACCATATGGGCAAACCACGGAAGGACAAACACTGGATGACTCCTCTTATAAGAGGAGTGTTGTTTCTTTCACTTTGCTAGTCACTATCAAAAGTATTTTCCAAAGGGCTTATACCAATACTCATCTCACCAGCTGTGCATGAGAGTCCCAGTGTGCGAATGCCTCAGAAATTGGTAAGCAGTGTTTTTATTGTTTGGCTGTAAAGGCATGTAGCAGCCCCATGGGCAGGAGAAACAGAGAGATGCTTGTGCTCTGGGGCACCAGAGTCACACGTACTTCAAAATCACAGATGACTGAATCCCCGACTGACTAACTGCACGAGCTTACCCTGCTTGTTTAAGCTCTCCATTTTCCTATATGTAAAGTGGGAACAATGTCCCTGTCAGTGCTGTTTGAAGAGTAGAGAAAACACATTTACAGTACCTACCATAGTAGGCACTATGTAGACACATAGTAGACACAAAGTAGAGACAACAAAGTAGAGATAAAATCATTGACAGCTATCAATAGCATTCTTTTGCTCACTTATTTCCAAAATCAGAATCGAAGAATCAAGGATCCAGTTTCTCTGAGGGACTTTTAAGGGCAGAGAGCTACACATGCATATTATTTTCTGGTATCATACATTGGTTTCTTTTGTGGTACCTGAACAGAAAAATGTATCTTGAATAAGTAAGAACAAAAAAAAAAAAAAAATACAACTTCTTTTAGGACCTTTAGAAATCCAAAATATCAAATCAAGTGCAACAAAAGGTATTGTCAATGTTTTATGAAATAGTTAAAAAGAAAGATCAGAGAGTAACTAAAAGCAACTGTTTTCAAGCCAAACTAAAAAGTAAAAGCAAATAGTCCACCAGACTGAGCGTCCCCATTTGCATTCACTCACCATGAGCTGCTCACCCGCTGTCGGCGTGCTGCTGTGGAGATCACCCTGCACACCCCTCCAGGGTCACTCATTCGCCTGAGGTTTACGGCAGGGAGTGGACAATTGGAGTCATTTTCAAAAGTTACTCACCTCCTTTCATTCTGAGTTATTGTGCCATTTTCCAGCTTTTTAACCGTGGTTGCCAGGACTTTATTGGCATCATTGGCAAAATCTAAGTCTCGCACCTCAGACAGCGGGACGGACACAATAGCAAATGCTTCTTTATCTTCTTTTGTTTGGCAGGTTCCAATCTGCAATTAGATTTTTTTTTTCCATGCAGATGAGCTGATTCTTTTTCAATGGCCACGCAATATTCTTTAAGTATTAACACATCTTTGCAAGTTTATGAAATACAAAGCAGGAGAAGATAATCCAAACACATAATTCCCACCCTCAACACCCTCTGAGAAAGGCGCTAGGAACACAGGTTGTCCGTGCCCACGTCCTGCCTTGTCCCCGTACGTATCTCTCATCACACTCGCCCTCGACTTCCGTTTCAACAGAGCAGAGAAAATGCAGTCCTGGAGCCTTCTCCCCTTTCCACATGCTGCTCCGGCTCTGAATCATACAGCCCTGCGAGAGCCAGGCTACTGAGGTCAACCGGCAGGCACAAGTGCTTGATGAAATGAATTGCAATCATCTCCAAAACTGCTAAAGGTGGGTTGCAAGGAATGTGGCAGGCGCTCCCTAATCCCATTCACACAACACCTAGCTGAAAACTGAATCCGTCTCAGAAACATTTACCTTCAGCATAACAGGCCTCTCTTCATCTGTGTCTATAGGGATACTCGTACTGGTTACCCATGTGTTGGTACACAAATGTCTTAACCGAACATAGGAGTTCCTAAAAGCAAGATAATACAAAAAACATTATTAAAAAGTTAGCCTACTTCCATGTGAACATGTTTAACAATTTCATACATGATATGAATACAAATATATTTTAGACTAGTAACCGATCCAAGTATTGATCAGTCTGGTGGAGGGGAAATCCCTGAACTATAGACCATTTCAAAGCCGGTGGTGTTTTTCACCCAGACCGGCGGCTCTGAAAGTGTGCTCCCTGGGCCAGCAGTACCAGCGTCACCTGAGAACTGGCTAGAGATGCAAATTCTGAGCTTCATCCCAGTCCAGTGATTCAGAAATTTGGAAGGTAAGGCCCAGCAATGAATATTTTCACAGGCTCTCCGTACAATTCTGATAGATGCTCACGTGAGAAGCACCGATCAAGTAACCGACTCAGTTAAAACTGCTGTCTGATAGTAGCCCTTTCTGTAGTTTAATCATCTGCATGTAAAAGTGTACACAGTTGATTTCATTATTCATAGATTCCACACATGTGACTTCATCTACTCACTAAAACTTGAAACTCCCAAATCAGTATTCAGGGCACTTCTGGGGCAATCCTCAGGCATGTGTCGAGTGACAAAGAGTTTGAGCCACACACATGCCCAGTGAGGCTGAACCAGGCCATGCTTTGCCTTCTCATTTCTGCTGTCATACTGCAAACAAGTGTCCTTTCCATGGTTTATTTAGCACCATGTTTTCCACATTTATATTCTCTTCGGTGGCTATTTAAAACAGCCCCCAGGCGTAGTGCTGAAGTGCTGCCCACTATTAAGAGCAAGGCTGTATGCTGTGCGGTAAGCAGGAAATTCTCGTGTTAGATAAGCTTCCTTCAGACGTGAGTTATGGTGCTGACGGCTGTGAGTTCAATGTTAATGAATCAACAATATATATTAAACAAGGTGTCTTTAAATAGGAACACACATACAACAAGTTTATATATTGACTGACTGCCAAAACTATTGTGAACAGAGGTTCACAGAATCCTAACCCTGCATTTCCCCTAGGAGCAATGGCTCAGTAGCTGCTAATGCAGAGCACTGGGATCATAAGTATCAGCTGTATAGGAACTGGGAAAGTGCCTGAGCAAGGACAGCTGGAACTTCATCCAACTCAAGTATTATCGTTTTCACTAAATCTTTGATCATTTCTTTAGCAAATATGAGTTTCAGCATCTAATAAAAAATACTATTGTGGTAAGTCCTCTGCCTTCAAGTCCCTGAGAATTTAGTAAGAAAGGTAAGACATTAACTAGGTCATATGACATGAAGGAGAAAGCATTAAAGACAATAAGAGAAAATCAAATAAAATGTGAAGGGCCTCAGAGAAAGTCAGAGATTCATTCAACATTAGGGTTAACATGGTTCTCTCATTCATACAAATAGATAAAAATAAAGACTGATTTTCAAAACTCTAAAACAGCAAAGATCCAACCTTTTTCCAAATAATCATAAATTTTGAAATATCTGTCTAACCATTTATCACCCTCTGAATTACACAGAAGATGTTTCTTGGATTCAGTTGCCTTCCCTCTCTGTATTTTAAGCATCTGGGCAATGGGGCCAAATCTTATTAAGCCCATGGCTGTTCCCCTACTCTTTACTGGCATACTTGTTCAATGTATGCTTGTTGAGTCAACCCCGATTGCTGGGTTCCAAACTAAAGATATTGCACTTGAGTAGCATTTCATTTTTTACAAGGACTTTGGAAATGAATAGCTCTTAGAACCCATGCCACAAAAATATGTTGCTAGTAAGATCTTGATAAAATTGAATGTCTAAAATAAGAAGGCATTGTAGCATAGTGGTTAAGAGTATAGATTTTGAGTTCACACGCTCCAGGATCAAATACCTGGGTAATGACTTTAAGAAGTAAATAAAGCCTGTACCCCACCCCCAAGACTGATTTCACTGGTCTTGTTGCAGCAAGGGCACACAGAGGTCCCAGGGCTCCTCAGATGGTTACATTTACAGTCAACTTGAAAAGCCCTTTTCTAAGTCTCTAGTTCCTTATTTGTAAGTGTTGCTTGACACAGGGCTTAGTACTTAGAAAGTGCTCAAGGGTTTTATCATAAGAGTAGTTATCACTGAGTGTTAATTAACATTAACTTTAATGCAAAGTAATCTGTTAATACAAAACTCCAATTTACACTGAGAAAGGCTTCAAAGGTCCTTAATAGTAATAGACTAACACTTTCACATAAAGCAAGTTTTCAGGGATTTCTTATGGGTCTAAAGCACTTTATAGTGAGATCATTTTATCATTTTCTTAAGCAAACTTTCTGGGTTAAAGTTCCAAAAGGACTCCATTTTACTGAGTTTAAATCTAAAATGATGAAGGTCCTAGTAAGGATTAAGATCCCAGTACTCAGAAGAGAAGACCACAGACCCAGATCAGGTAAAACCTTCAGAGGGGATCTCTTTAGAGGCTGGTAGAACAGGGAAGAGTGAAGTGTAGCTCATGTGAAGCCAGGATTTGGTAACATTTCTCATGAATGAGAATAACCATGAAACCCCGTCCGAAGCTCAAGGAGCAGTGTTAGAATAGCAACTTTTTTACCCTCTCTGAGAGTAACTCAGGACATTGTCTGAATTTTGTGCCAATACCTTAAGCCTCAGTTTGGCCAAGGCCAAACACGATAATGCTCTGTCAAAGATTATTTACAACCATCCCACTTGGCCTAATGAAATGAGCAAGACTCATCTATGCATCTAGAGAGTGCATCATAGTGTTTTTGTTGGAAGGTAGACAGTTGTAGGCAAAAGAGCTTAATTAAAGTAATCAAATACAAGCAAAAAAATGTAAAATATTTGCTTGCCTTGCATTCTGGCTACCATATTGTCAATCACCCTCCCCACCCCTCTTGTTCACATAGGTCCAACTGGTCTCCGAGTTGGTCCTTCCCTACCAGGTCACACCTGGTAAATTTCACGATTTTTTCCATTCCATGTTCCTGCTGCTTGAAACAGTTCTAATAGAGAGGGCTGATCCGTGAAGTCATTCAGATATTTTCTCATATCTCCTAAAGAAGAGGCTGTTTCTGAATACTCCTATCTAATAGAATTCTCTCAAAACTCTGCAATTTTTCTTCAAAGCATTTTCATTACCTGACCTTATATTTTATGTTTGTCTATTGCCTCTCTCCTCCATTTGAATTTAAGTACATAACCAGTTTGTTTACAGTTGTCTTCCCAATGCCAAGAGCAAAGCCTAGAACTCAATCAATGTTCACTAAAGATTTGTTGACTGAATGGTTGAATGAATGAATGAATGAATGAATGAAAGAAAAAAATATGGAATCTAACATAATAAAAATAAAATATATAAATGTTAATATAAAGCTTCTAGATTATTTTTCATTTTAGTAACCAAAGTCCATACAAGTAATAAGAATAAATGAATCTTATGAATTTTTCAGAATTTCTTTGGTCCTGCACATTTTAATTATTTACAAAAAAAGCAAACTACATTAACTTACTCACAAAAAAAATGCATGATTTTTTACACACTTGTTCTTCACTTATGCTCTCTCCTTTTATATCACAAAAATTACATTAACATTATAGTTTTAATTCCTTACCTACCAGTAAAATTATTTAAAGAAACAGTATCAGTTAACCATAATTCTTTTTCTTACCTTGGAACCAGGCAGTCAGCTCTCTGAAGAGTTGTGGCATCCAGTTCAAAAAGAGACGCAATGTCGTTTCCATGTGGGACCGAGACCAAGGTATACATGATCTTCTCCCCTGCCTGGCGCTTCTTCTTTGAAGTTGGAAGATCTCCCTCTCTCTGTTGAGGACATACAAGGTTATTCACTTTCATCAGGTTTCTTACTAAACTCTCCAGTCGATTGGGAGAGAAGGTTTAAATTTGCATATTATTTCTTCAGTGGATTATGGCGATGTGCATTTCACATTAACCGAAAATAGCAGGTTGGGCCTGACAGCCCCTGGGGGTATTATTATCAACAGTGACAAGTCACACACTCCCAGAGGGGTGGCTGCCTCTGCGCAAATTATCAAGGCCCTGAAAATCCCATTCTCCCCTCCCTTTAGGAAACCTATTTACATAGTAATTATACTGACCACTCCACATTTAAAACGAACACAGTGAAGAAATAGCGTGCTGAATCATCTACATTTCATAAATCAAAGAGGAAACACGGCCGTGCTTCAGAGCTCCTGCCTAAGTCCAAAAACGCAACTGCGACATTTACCTGAGGAGAAGGGGAATCACCCACAACACCCCCATCCAATTCATTGGCGTGTTCGGTTAGAACCAAGAACATACTATAAAGGCATATAAAGGGAAATAAAGTGAGATCTTCACAAACAAAAGCCTTCATGGCGATCTGAAACTCAGTCAATATTTTTTAGAACCTTACCATTTTAAGCAGACAACCACACAAGACTGATGATTAGGTATTTTTTCTTGAACTTCCCCAAGTCCCAATCACCCGTGGAAGAATTTGATACATGGAAACCAAAATGTTAATATAAGTTTGGTAATTACGTACATAAATGTAATTAATTATACATATTTATTGAAACAAATGAAATTTTAAAATGAGAGAAAGACTGCTGTTGTATCATCACAGGAAGTTGAATAAAAGTCAGGGAGAGAAGGGACACTTGAAAGGCAAGTGAACGCAGTCCACATCCAACCACAAGCATTTATTTAATGGCTGCTATGGCAATGAAATATTACACCTGATCCTTCCAAAACACTCCCTTGAATTTCCATCCCAAGACTGTGACTATCACGTTCCTTGCATCAGAAAACTCTTGCAGTTTCTTCTGGTGCCCTCTGCAAATGGTGCTCATGTTGGTAGCAGCCCTGAACTGTGAACACACAGAGAAGCAGCCAGGGTTTTTGCTATGGGTCTAACATTGCTCTAAAAATATAGGGTCTATTAAAAAAAAAACTCAAAGGTTGAAAGAAATATTTGTAAATCAGGTACCTGATAAGGGAATTATATCCAGAATATATAAAGAGCACTTAGAACCCAATAATAAAAAGACAACCCAATTAAAAAATTGAGCAAAGGAATTGAGTAGACATTTCTCCACAGAGGATGAATAAATGGCCAGAAAGCACATGCAAAGATGCTCAGTATCACTACTAACTAGTTAAGAAGCAGACAATAGCAAATGTTAGTGAGAATGTGGGAAAATCCTAACACTCATATATTGTAGGGAAAACATGAAATGGTATAGACATTTAGGAAGAGTTCGGCAATTCCTCAAAACAATAACATAACCTGCGATTCTAATTCTAGGTATCTACCCAAGAGAAACGAAAATATATGATCACAGAAAAAAACTTGTACATGAATGTTCATAGTAGCATTAGTTATAGTAGCCAAAAAGTGCAAAAAACCCAAATGCCCATCAAATGGTGAATGGATAAACAAAATGTGGTAATATGAACAAGAAATATCATTTGGCCCTAAAAAGGAAGGAAGTACAAACACATCTACAATATACATGAACCTTGAAAACATTATGCTAAAGTGAGAGAAGCCAGACCTAAAAAGCCATGTATTGTATGAGTCCACATATGAAATGTCCCAAAAAGGCAAACCCATGGTGACAGTAGATTCATGACTGCCAGGGCCCAGGTGAGAGAGGGAATGTAGAGTGACTGCTAATAGGTATAAAGGTCTCTTTGGAGGATGATAAAATGTTCTCTCACCATTGCCTAGTATAGAAGCAACAAATTAGTATTTCAGTCTCCTTGGAGAACTCCCATATCCCTAAAATGAATACGTGTCATCTAATTTCCTGAGCCCCTGCACATAGATCTAATTATAATTTAGCTTTTGATATAGATTTTCCATCAAAGAAAAGACACTAACTGACCCAATGATTTAGGTATACTTAGCAACCAAAAGTTGGCATTGTGGTTATACATCAGTCATTTGTGAATTCATTTAGCAGGAGTCAATCCACCTGTATACACTCCCCTTTTGAAATGCTAATATTGATAAAATGAATTTTCTAGGTTTATAAAAAGAAAGCAGATCCAGGTTCCTAGAGATTGTCCTCCTACCCAAACCTCCTTGGTAATGTCTCCCTGCAGGACCCCAACAAGAGTAGTCAGAGACCTATGTCACAGTGGACAATAAAAATCTTTTCCAAACATAGAAAATCCTTGCTTCTTAGGGCTTATTTAAAAAGGTCATTCTGAATTATGCATACTATTTAAGACCTATGGTTTAATTTTAATTATACAGAATAAGTGGAATGTACGATTTTACCCCTAAATAATTTACTTAGGTCCTTGAGAACAAAAAGTTTAATGAATAGATAAGTTTAATTCATAAATAGCCTAATAATTATGTGAATAAGAGCTTTCAACATGTTTAGAAGTTTTAAAAGTGCTACAATCTTAAACTCTCTGCTTTTAATCTTTTACTCTGATAATTTGCTTAAACACTCTTTCAATAACAATTTGACAGTAAACTTCAAGCCAGCCTTTCAAAATTTTTAAATAATGAAATATGAAGAATGAGTTATAAGCATACAAGTTTTAAATGTGTTGACCAAGCTACGATATAGAAAATCAGTCTTATATTTCTATAACACAAAGACAGTTCTGTTCAAAATTGTGTTCTGTGGCTTTTATATAGAAACCCACATCTTTTTCTAAGTAAGAAAAAAAGACACAAAAACACTAGTTCCCCGCACAGAATTACAGAAGCACAATGCCCTCCCTCTTGCAACATGAAAATACATTAAGGTACAGCAGAGCTTAGACAGGTGTTAAATTTAACATCAGCCAGCTATCCAAAACACTCAATTTAGGGAATGCAGGGCCTCAGAATATTAACCTAATCTGCCGGGCTCTTATAAAACTAGCATTTTCACTTGGAAGGAAAGGCACACAGCCTGGCAGGTTACATGAGTTGAAAATCCCTTATGAAAAGCCAGTCGGGTAAACTAATGGCTCGCCTGGCCCCTCCTGCCCGTCCTGAGGCCGCCCGCGGCAGCTCAGCAGTTAGTCTGCTGTAACACCTTCTCTGTTGACTCATTTGTGAGTCATCGAATTTTTAGCAGAGACATCGCAATGCTGTTGTTGGGCGCCAGAGACATTCTGTAAGAAACAATGTATGCGTTTTCAGGGCTGATTCAGACCTGTGTGGGGCTGCAGCAGCATAATCATGTGCAGGCATCTGTGTATTTTTGTTCAGACCCTCTGGGGCTCTTGCTGATGACTTTATGTAACAGACACAATCCTGTCATTTAAAGCAGCAAGCACCTCTTTTGCCATTCCTGAACAAGCTGTTATTCTCAAACTAATTCCTAACATAACCCTCTTTTCTTTCTTTTCCTTATCATGTTACCACTGTAAAGCTCAAGGGAATTTGGTGGTCTTCTTTCAGAATCTGGTACCTACCTCATCCCTGCCTCAAAGAAAAAAATTCTACAGAATATAATTTTCAAGTCTATTTCAACGAAGTTTCCCTGGTTCCTAGCACATTTTTGTTTACATATGTTTTTGCACAAAGACTGATGGTTCTCAACAGGAGGACAGTCTGGTGCCCAGGGACATTCAGCAATTTCCAGAGACACTTATAGTTGCCACAGCCCGGGGCAGGCTGAACCACTGCTGGCATCCATGAGTGTAGCAGAGTCCGTGGATGCAACTAAACATCCAACAATGCAAAGGAGGGTCCCCCACAACAAAGAATCATCTGATCCAATATATCACTATTGTTGGGGTCAAGAACCCTCCGCATAGACAACAGACACTCCCTTGAAAAATCAGACCACATTATTCCACATAAATATGGTAAGGTTAAAATGGGTGGTGTTATTCCCCTCCACCCCCCAAAAAAATCCCCTTCAAAGAGTCATTTAAAAAGATGCAGCCTTTCAAGGAGAAGAAACTAATGACTGCCAGGTTCCCAGCTGGGTTTGACACAGTTCCAATATTTACAGAGTCCCTGTGGATGCTGTACATTTGTAAGATTGGAAATAATAGGCTCTTTTGTAGAATAAATACAGCAATTTGGGTCTTAATGGGAGCTCTGACACACACCGACTCATTTCAGCAGCGCCATGCATTAACCTTTGGCACTTCAAAAATGGAAGGCAACATTTTGATAAAGGTTTATAAATTACAGGAAAAATATTAACTGGATATTAAATAGACAACATAGGGAAAATTAGAAAAGAAAATAATTAGCATGGTCCCAGTGAACTCCGTGTTACTGGAACCCAGAGCTGAAGTAAGAGAGCATTCTATTCTGTTTTGGGAAATTGGTTTCATTTTTCATAGGTGAAACTCTAACTGCTCCCCTGTTTTGTTTTGTTTTTTTTTTTTACATAGAAACATAATTATTGGTAGGTGGTAAATGGCCTATAAAATGAGGAGTCATATTGTTAGCTTTATTGTTCCATATTCTCAGTTTTATTTACTTTCAAGATTTTGGAGAGAAAAAAAATAAAATAAAATGTCTCCAGTTGGATGTGTCTCTGAAATGACAAATGACATCCAGGCATAAACTTCCACAGCAAAGGCAATCCTGCCTGTGCTACATGCAATTAAGTATTGCTAAAACAAAAGAGTGCTCTTTCTCGCCTTTAGAAATGAATAAAGAAGGAAAAAGTCTATCGAGTCTAACTAAAAGCTAATTAACACAAAGAGTAGACTTCATCATGGATTTATTACTTATTTACATTCTTTATGCTGCTTCATAAACCATCATGCTCTGTATTCTCCCGCTCAGCTCTGCCCAGAATTATTAGCAGCGCCACCAAACAGTACGTAGCTGAAAGGAGATTAGCTCAGAAATTTACTTCAATGGCACAACTTGAAGCTTTGATATGATGTCCTTTTAGTAGAAACACGTCACATCTTTAGCCTACTACCATCTTTATTCAAAGAGTTTCCATCTGTCCGATCACTTTATCATTTTACTGCAGGCCGGTGGGGTCATGGAGGGTAAACACTCTCATCCTACAACACAGGTAAGGAAACTGAGTCTCAGGAAAGCAATCTGATGTGTCCCAGGCAACGCCAGTTAATGGTGGTCCTAGAAGTATCACCCTTGGCCCTACCATGACGAAGTCACATAGAATATCATAAAAATAAACCTGGATAAAGAGAAAAGCAGCCCTGGACACCCAACAGCTTGCCTTGGTGTCACTGGGGGCTGGCCCTGCGCTCACAGTGAGGCCAGTGTTCTCCAGTCAAACATGAACAATTTCACAAAATGTCAACATCGGATAAGGCCACCCCCTGACTAGGATGGATCAAGACAAAACACTACCACTCCGGAATCATGTCTGAACATCGACAAAAGAGGAACATTGTCCAAGCCACAACAATGATGAACTATCCCCCTTCTCTAGCTAACATGAGCAACTGCTGCTTCGTTAGCAGTGACAGCGTTAGCCTGGCTCCAGTCTGCTCTCTCTATACATAACACTTACTAAAATGCCTTCTGACAGCGTTCCGATCCAGCGAAAAAGCTCACTTCCTTAAATCCTCCCCAAAATCATCCTGCACAAGCCTAAATCCTCTAATACATTCTTGCTCACAAAGCTTCACTTGGATGCCCCACGGTTCCCACAACATGTGTGAAAGGAGTAATAAACCCACCCCGCTTGTTCCAGTACAGGTGTGTTCGTGGTGGTCTCTGGCTGGAAGGCACTGACTAACTTACAGTTAAAACCAAAGAAGCTGTGATTCATCCTTAGCTTGTAAACCATAGTTATTGATAGTATTTTTCTAAATCTTAGGAAAAGTAAGAACCCAACAATCCTGGGGCAGCTGTTTGAAAACCAAACGTCAAAGAGCCACACAGGATGATAGTATGGAATTAAAGACAGAGGATCCTATGGATCTGATAAGCCTAATTCTAGGTTTAGACACAATTTCAAGTTTTCATTGGGTCAGTGACCTGATACTTTAGCTTATTTCTATTGTAATCCGGATTGGCGGAGAGGGGAGACAAACAGGACTGACTCAGATCCAAAAACTCTGATTTGATTTACCTCCCCACATCAACATCCTCATAAAGCATAAGGCTGTGTAGCAATGCAAAGACATAGTAATTTTAATTAAACATTCCACCTCTTTCTACCAAACGGTAGAATTTTGGATAATACAGGACTAATAGCTGCCAATTCAAAAAAGGATTATTAAATTTCTAAGCAAATTGAATTATAGACTGCATCTATTTTATGTCAAGATATCTGGCTAAATTACAAAAAAATAATAATATGCACATCATCTAGCATTTATCTGTATCACATCAAATTTTCCTGAATTTCTGAATTTTTTATTAAATTAAGTCATGTTGTAATCATGAAAATATCTTCTTTACAAATGATGATGAAATGAGCTGGGTGAATAAGCACAAATATTTTAATGAGAATTGGCTTTAAAATAAGATTGAGAAGTTTTTTGAGTAGCATATTTTAGAATATCATAAAAATCAGTCACCTGGTTGTTTGATGTTTCAATGCCTCCTTGTAAGTAGAACCCAGCTTATTTTGAATCAAAGAAGATTGACCTGCCCTGGCTGATCTGGCTCAATAGATTGAGTGCTGGCCTATGAACCAAAGGGTCGCAGGTTTGATTACTAGTCAGGACACAGGCCTGAGTTGCAGGACAGGTCCCCCGTGGGGGGTATGTGAGAGGCAACCACATATTTATGTTTCTCCCCCTCTCTTTCTCCCTCCCTTCCCCTCTGTCTAAAAATAAATAAATAAAAGCTTTAAAAAAAAAAAGATTGTCATATTATCCTTTTTAATATCATGCCATGATTCCATTTCTCCTGCCTAATCTGTATTCTCTCCTGAAAACTAAGCCTAGACCCACCATATACCCCAGACGCTAGCTGTCTTCAGCATTCAATCATAAATGGCCTTCAAGTTGCTAGAAATCTCCCTCAATATCTACTATGGAGCATCTTCTTATGATCTAAGCCGGGTATGTTATCTTTTACCTTTTATCTCTGGTCCACAGCCTCTACTCAGAGAATCCCCCTCAGAGACCCTAGTCTTGAAATTTCCTATTAACGTTTTCAGTTTGGTCATATAAAATATAAATGCTCTGTTTGGGCTTTGTTGGCAGGAAAAACAATTCTACTCACCATAACTTTTCCTTCATTTTGGGCATCTCGATAATCAGGATTAAGCTAAAAAAGAAAAAAGGAAAAAACTAGTTTAATTGCTATTAAAAGCACATTGATAAGGCCAATAATGTTTAATTCAAGTCACTATGATACCATTAGCTAAGTATAATATGAAAAGAAGTTAAGAAAGGAATCGTTAGTAAATATTAAAATTTAAAAGGTTACCTTGAAACTCGAGTTGCAGGCGACAGAATCTAAATGCCAAGTATACGGGCTTTATTTATATAAGACCACTTGACATCTTTGAACAAGTAAGAGCTGCCAATTCCACCTCCTCTAAGGAAGCATTCAAGAGTTCATTTTATACACCACAAAATCTGCCATTGACTAATAACTGAGACATCAGTTTTAAAAAACAGAGCAAAGCAAAGTTTTAATAATGATTCAAGATCATGCTCCACATGCTATGCATACAAGAAAAGAAAATTGAGCAAAAGAGGGACAATATATCAAGTATATACCAGCTAAGTGAGCCAATAATGCATGAGGACTATTGAAACAAACACACAAGAGTGCGTGTCTTCAGACTTGGGTTGCAAGGTTGCTGGGTTTTGGGTCACCCCAACCGGAAGGATAAGTTCTGCGCATGCGCTGGCTCCCACATTTCCATAACTCCTGCCTCCCACCTGACCACACGGTCCCAAAAAGATGCCTTTGATGTACTTAAAGAATGACTAGTTCAGAATTTGTAAAACAACAAATTCATGTTTTTCTCAAAATATCAAAGTGTCCGATTTGATGTAAATCAAATGTAAATCAGTCAGTGTATATAACACGTGACTTCAGGTCGTTAAAGTCACCATTGAAAAATATAAGGTTGGGAGTCTTCCTCAAAATGACACTTGGCTAGTATCTGTGAGGAATGTTCCTCCCAACTTATCACTAATTATAACAAAGGTAATGAAAAAAGCTAGAAGCAAAACAAAACAAAAATCTCCCAACTCATTGAAAACTAAGGCTGAAAAACAACCTACACCCCGAATCTTCAATGAATTGACGGTAATTATAGAGTGGCTAGTGCTGAGGGAGAGGCAGTTAACTCCTCAGTTTTTATCTCACGGCATATCCATGAAACGTTAACCTCACTTCAAGCCAGTGGCCATGTGGACATGATTAAAAGGATTCTTGCTATGGTTCCCACTAGTATTTGTCCACTGGCTCAGACCCAAATTATTTACCAACCAACAACAGAAGTTTTTCTCTATCCCTAAGAAGCTGCTGTTATGTTAGACTGAGCAGAAAATTGCCCAGTCCTCCCATCCACCGTCCTGTTACCTATCTCTATCTCCTCATGACCAGAGAGATGCAACAAAGCGCAGAAAACAATGCATAGAAAGTAGAGACACAGACAAAGGCAGCGGGCTTTCTGAGAAGCACTGCATGAACAAAGAGGAGAAAAGAGAAAGAACTGTGGCTGCTCTGTGCTGGAATTACACTGCATAATAATGCACGAATAGCAAAGGAATGGGAGAGGGGCGCAACTGCAACAGAAGCCAGGTAAGGAGAGTCAAGATCCTAGAACGGGGAACTACACTGGGAATGTGCCCTTTACTCTGCCTTGCACCTAAAATTTTAGAAAGAGGACTGAGAATTTAAAGAAGAAAAAAAAAGGAACTAAAGGACCATCCACCCAACACATCTGGTTCTACACAGAGCTCTGAAGATAATAAGGAAGGAGGGAAGGAAAAAAACACAAACATGAGGCTGATTGAAAAGTATGTTAGAAGAGGGTAAAATTCTTTCTCAGAGTTTTTCTGAATATTTTCTATGGTATGATGCAAAATAAATGTTCGGGAAAGGGTTTGGCATACTCAAAAAAGCACAAGTAAACATTGCTTCTATGAAAAGGCAACAGAATGGGATAATCAGCTAAAAATACAATATAAAAATAATAATATAAATAGTAAAACTGGTGGGTGGGGAATAGAGGGGGTTAGAAAATGGCAATGCAGCTCCTAGTTGCCTGTTAGTACTAGGCCAGTGCTTACGGAGAGGGGAGGCCAGCCTTCCCTTTTCTATGGAGACAGGCACCCCAGTTTCCTTAAATTGTCTTTAATTATGAATAAAAGAATTAGTTCCAAAATACTGTTATCTTGCTTTTGGAATTGAAGAATGAAAGGTAAAAAGCCAAAAAGATAGTTAATTAACCGGCCTCCAGTCTACTAATTAATCAACCTCAAAAAGACATACTTTTACTTTGAAACAATGGAAGTTCCAACCTAGTGCCCAGAAGGGATTTATTCAGCTCTTTCAGTCAAGTGTCACTGTTTTATAGTTTTTAATGTGTTTTCACTTTAAAGAATTTAGACTTTTAAATTTAAATCGTCCATACTAAAATTATATCCAAAAATATGCAATATGTTTAACTAAGGACATACTTTACGGTCATAGTTTATTCAGCAAGCATTAGAATAGTTGGTTGCAAACACTGTAAAGTAAATCATGTTGAAGCCATATCATATCCATAACTAAAATACATACAGAAGCAGGAATTAATGTACGTAAGTCAAACACAAAATCATTTATGCTCTGGGAAACATCACTCGTATTCCCCCCCAAAGACAATGTTACTTCTTAAAATTCAGTCTTCACATAGTTCACCCATTTAGGGTCACCCGGTTCAATCCCTAAGAGATTTCTGTGCAACTGGATTCCAGACTCTGATCTGTAGGGAAATACCATGGGCTGTAGTAAAGGTCACCTAACCCTCATGGAGCTCAGGGACCAAATCTGTAAAATGAGAAAAGTCTATGCCTAATCATACTAATTATATGTCATTAAATGTCACATCTTCATGTCTTTGGTAATAGTACTAAAGAAGGTGCTGTTCAGTTAGATTTTGCCTCATCCTGTGTCTCTCGGGCTACCATGTGTTTTTTAATAATTAATAAAAAGTTGCTGCTTCAGTGAATTTATTAAAGTGTTAATAATAGTAAGGAGGAGGAGGAGGTAGAGAGGAAGGAAGAGGATAAGGGGGAGGGGAAGAGAGAGAAGCCACCCAAATAAGTCTCTGGCTATATAAATTTACCCATTTTAACTAAAGGCCAAATAAATATATGCTTCAATACATGTTTTAATTATACTGTTCCTTTTTTCTCTAAATATAATAAGAACAGTAATTATTGATGTAAGTAGGCTAAGGATGAATCAAAGAAAATTTCTAAAAAAGAAAATAAAACACATAGTCATGTGGAAATACCTAAATCTTTTAGGACTTTAAAGAAAATATTTCCTTATGTTAAAAATAAATTATAAATCTGGCATTAGAGAAAAAGATCTAATATGCTATTCAATCATGCAGCCAATAAATATTAATAGAGCATCTATAACGGGAAAAGCACTGTGGTATATGGTATTTTAGCAAAGATATGGTCCCTGACCACAAGACCTTATAGTCTTGGAAGAGAAATAAGACATAAATACAGTTAGCCTTAATACAAAATAGAATGTGACAAGAGATATAAGATAGAAATGAATCATTTATAAATAATATAGGTCAGAAAAAGAAGGACTCTGTGGTAGGCAAATTTATTCAAGAAGAGATTCATGGAGAAGTAGCATCTGAGATGTCCTGAAGGGCAGGCAGAGTTGTAACTGGGCAGAGAACAGAAGAGGGAGTGAGGCAGACAGGTGGTGCAGGGGAGTGAGTGCCATGCGGGTGAGGACAGGAGACTTGCTCAGAGAAGATCCATAAATGTCACTTATAGAATATGTTTTATATGCTTTTAAAGGTTAATCATTTCCCCTTATGTTTCTCTTATTAGAAGGGAGTCTTAATCCCACCTCATGGAGGGGGCCCCCGGCACACATCAGGTGAGGTGCTGTGTGCAGACTCTCTGCCGGCCAGTGGCAGGGTTATTTGGAAGCCCGGGTCTGAAGGTCCCACGGCTACCTCTTTTAATTACACTAGCACGTGACTCCCTGCAGGCCAGTGGGGACTTTATGCCACAGATTAATGGGTTCGCATCTTCAGAAGGATTTTGAATATCTTTGGGAAAACATCTGTGGAAACAAGGCATTAAAAATCCTCAACTGGTAATGGTTAGTAGGAGATGAAGACAGAGGACAAAAGAGGCAGAGGAACCAAGTGCGGCGGTAGGTGAGGGCTGGTAGAGCACCAACAAAACTCATGAAGCTGAAATGAAAAGAACGTGGACACGGAAGATCTTCCAGAGGCAGAGTCAGCAGAATTCGATTGTGTAAACTGAGAGAGAAAAATATGTTTGTCATGACTCTCAGGTTTTTCAACCTGAACTAAGAAAATTCACTACTTTGCAGGGAAACAACTCAATCTCCGGTGTCTATATTGAGTTTCAGGGGCAGTGGGACATCGGGCGTCAAATTCACGGACCACTGCAGCCATGGGAGTGGGTGACGAGGAGAGGACACAAAGGACAAACACCCACTCCTAACCTTTGAAGGGGGTTCTCCCTTAAATGACCAAAGAGGACTAAAAGTAGTCACGCAGAGCATGTGACAAGTCAGAAGAGAAAAGTGGCAGGGGGAGGGGGAGGAGGTGAACATCTAGGCAGTGAAAGTCAGAACCGTACACAAGCAAACGAAAGACAACTGCGACTCCCACCTACACAATAAAAAGAAACAGGCCAAAATCTCACAAGGAAAGTGTCACTTTTTAATAATGGAATGTGTTTTAATCTATTATTGTTATGTAACAGGTTAAATTATATAATGACATTAAAATCATTAAATCATCATGTGTATATTTTTTAATGCCTATATATGTAGATTCCAATTACTGGCATTTCAGAGCAATTCTATTATTCCATTTGATAAATCTAAAAGAGAAGAGGAAAATAACATTTACTAAATGTTTATATGTGCCAGGCACAATTTATATTTTGACATATAATGTTTATTTGCTACATAAATGTTTGTGTGCAGAGGACCAGGTATGGATGTTCTACTCTATTCATGCATACACAAGCCCTGCCCTTCTCATATACAGTGGCTGTTACATTTGGTAGAGAGCTAAATATAGGAAT